CGTGGTCAAGGTGCTTTCTGGCATAACAGGCTGTTAAAGCTGTTTGGCAGTATAATCTTATGAATTTCAAGATCCAGGGTGGTTTTTTGTTTTTATTTTCTTTTGTTCTGTGCACTCCACACACTTATCACACCACATCTCCACCCCCTGCACCCCCTCTTATTTTGGTGCATTGGAATAAGGCAGTCCTATCATATCCATACCTCTCTTGTATCTACAAGTGGTACAAAGGTATTAAGAAAGCAGCATTTTGAGATAGAAGGAAAAAAGTATTATGTGTCTTAAATGCCGCAATCATAAAATATGAAAACATAGAGGAAAATTAGAAATCATCTTGCTCATGATTCACTGAATTAACATTCAACCAGTGTTTTGAGGAGAACATATTATTCTGGATGTGTTTTGTGATGCCCATCGTGTTGTGTCATTGCAGATCTGCCGTATGGGATGCTCGTTATGAGAGAAAGTTAGGTGATGAATTTGCATTTCTAATTTACACTCCTTTAGCTTTCAAATTCTAGTATTGAGGAATACAAGCCCGTGGTGGTAAAGATTACAAACGCAGCTGGAACTGATTTCTAAATATATTAATAATTTACTCATTACCTTTTGTAGTAGATGCTATACCAATAGTAAAAGATCATATTTCATAGCACTGTTGTATATGAGTATAATATTTCTAATTATAGTCCATAGCAGTGCTTTGAACTTCCAACATTTCAGATGGTGGGGCTGCATGATGTTAAGCACTAGATTATGAGCTGGGAACTCAGGGAAATCTCATTGCATTCTTAGATGTGTCATTGGGCAGACAAGTGAGAGTCTTCTTGTTTATCCCTTTTTTGCTCTTGGAAAGTCATTTTCTTTCTTCTTATTGTTAGGGAAAATGGCTCAGAGACTATTTTTACTATAACAGAGGTGGGGTTTTTTTTGATGTCTTCTGTCTGGAGCCATTAGTTTCCCGCTTTGTATAGCTCTGCATCATTTGTCAACTATCAGATTAGGCTTCTTTAAACCAGGTGATACTCCTGAAGTAATAAAGCTTATACTTCAATCATCTGTAATATGTACCTAATTCTGTAAGGCTAGAATTACCCTCCAAGTTTTAGCAGGGAGGGGCAAAGGTGTTGATGCAGCTGGAGAGTTGCTTGCATTTTCCTGAACTCCTGGCAAGTGGACATAAGTGATAAAGAAATTATTTGTCTAACATTCTGTACTGAAGAATTGTCAGTTCCGAATAATTAATGATATATAAACATGAACCGAAGTGTGGTGCTTACGTTTATGCTTTCGGTTTTGAGGGATCTAACTTAAGGATTGAAGTTCCCTTAAATCTTCTTAATGCTGAAAAGATGGAAATATTTTTATACTGTACGATAAACTGTATTATGAAAGTCTGAAATGCATTTGCTTTTCCCATTGTTCATTGAGGCTGCTGATAAGAGTTGCTTTTGGAGGGAAATGACCTTTGAAATCTGCAAAGGATATTTCTTTCTAGAAGTTGAAACAGCAAGGGAGTGGGTATCCTGTTACATAATAAGATTTTCTTTTTTTTTTTTGAGTAGACTTCACTCTTGGAAGGCAAGCTTGATTGAGCACACTGATTTTTGTGTGTGGTTTTTTTTTTTTGTTTTAATACTGCACTTAAAAGAATGGAACAAAATTCCACAATGTTGGGTAAAATAGTTGAGGTGTCTTGCACTATTAAATCTGCTCTTAAGGGGCGAAACTTTGAGGTTACACTGAAACCGTATCTAACTGTAGAAGAAAAAAGGCTTGCTGCTGCTGCTGATCCATGTGGATGTATGGAGCAATATTTTACTCTGTAAGTACCTAATGTTTGGTAATCCTGGATTATAATTTGTCAGAAAATATTTGAAACAACCCTCACAACCCATCAAATTAAGTAACAATTAATTTCCAAATGGATTCATCAAGAACTTGTAATTTAATTTCTCTTTTTTTTTTTTCTTTTCCCTACCTGCTGCTTTTCTCTTATGGAAGCAAGGCTGGCTGAAAACAGGTCTTCCTATCTTAGTTTCTCTGGTTTATGTCTTTCCAGTTAACATTTCAAAATGTTGTAATTTGAAATGTATGATATTTTCTATAAGCAGTTAGAAGTACATTTTATCATTAAATAGTCCTTTCTTCTGTCTTCACATCTTAAATTCACCTTTTCCGTTTTTCTTCATGTTGTTACATTCTGGGAGAAAATCTTCAGCAGCTACTTGGATCTTGTTTTGTATAACTTCCTCTGTTTTTGCTACTTGATCCTGAAGTTCAAATTATTTTTTCACATTTTCTGCTTTGTTGATGTATTCTTATTTTTTCGTGTTAATTAATATTCTGTCTTCTGTTGGTTAACGATTCTCTTGCTTCTCATGTTAATTACTCCACTTGCTCAGCCTTTCTTTTCCATTGGGTTGGTGGATTTTTTGAGTTGGTGGGCCAAAGTCATAATCTCCCACTGCAGAATTACCTTTTACCGAGTTGGAGCTGATTCAGCACTGTTGCTGAGTTGTCTTTATTAGTTTCTTCTTTATCTTGGGGGTTCTGCCAAATGTCCTTGTGAACCATAAATTCTACATTCTTTGTGTCCACTGTCAGTGGTACATCCTTCTTCCCAAGCTTTGTTAACCTCCTGCTAGGTCTGAGATAATTGAAACATGTCGAGCCCTTAACAAGGCAATTCTACTGACAAGTAATTTGTCTTTTTAACACCTAGATGTAACATAAAGCTGGCTTATTAGTTGCTATCTGTTTCATGGATTAAATCTCCTTTCTTGTTTATTAATCTTGAAAGTATACAGAGATCAAACATCAAAGAACATCCTTTCTTAAGAAAATTTTTATGTATTCCATTGTTTGCAACAGCAGTAGGAAGCTGGAGCATAGGATAAGAAACAACTTTGTAAATCAAGTCCAGACTTTTGCTACATAACTTTGATAACTGTGTCATAGAGATTCTTGCACAGGTAAGGATTAAGACTTAAGCAGAAAGAATTAGGGGTCTCCGAATTTCTGTATCCAGCTACAGCAAAGTCTCAGGCAAGGTACTTCAAGCTAACCTAAAAGAACTGAGACTTACTTGGTATCCTATACCAAGGTGGATAGGATAGCAAAATAAGCTATTTCTGTGGCCAAGAATAAAGAGAGCTTGGTAGGAAATAATGTTGATTGGGGGGGTTTTTCCATCTGGTTGTGGTTCTTAATTTTGTGGATGTATACTGAAACATATGGGCAATGTGGATTTCTCATGGAGGGCACAAAATAGATGCAGTATTGGCTTTGAAAAGATGAGGAGATCTCCACTGGAGTCTGGAGTCACTCTGTTCCTTACAAGTAGGAAAAATGTTCTATAAGGACTTATGAAGGAATGGATGACAACATTTGGTCTCATTGTAACAAACTATGGCTTTGACTTAAACCTCTTTTCTTCGCTGTCTGAAATTCTAAGGGCAGTGATAAATCCGAATATATTTAGGTTTTGCATTCACTTTTGAAATCTTGTCTGGATATATTGGGTTTGGCTGAGTGGAGTTACTTTACCCCATAGCAGCCTTCATGATGCTGTGCTTTCTTTTGGTAGTTGATGACACACCAGTGTTTTGGCTACTGCTGAGCATTGCTCACACAGTAGTCAAGATGTCTCTCCAATATCCCTCTTCACTGGTAGCCTGGAGGTGGGCAAGATCTTGGAAGGATGCATAGCCAGGACTGCTGACCCTGACTGACAAAAGGAATAATCCATACTGTATGGTGAATGTTCATCAATAAAAGCTAAGGAGAAGGGGGTGGGCATTCATTATTATGATTGTCTCCTGAAGCACCTGCTATGTATATTAAAGCCCCACTTCCTGAGAGGTGGCTGGACATTGCTTGTGGATCTGAAAGAGAGAATAAATCTCTTTTTTCCTTTGCTTCTACATGCAGCCTTTTCTTTTGCTTTATTAAACTGTCATTATCTTGACACATGAGTTTTTTTCCATCTTGTTTTCTCACCCTCATCTTGCTTGAGGAGGGTAGTGATGGAGTGGCTTGGTGGACCCCTGGTGTCCAGCCAAGGTCTACCTGACGTGCCAGGCCCTTCAATGTGTGAAAGCTCACAGGGTTTGGAAAGCTTTTGGAGTTCTTTGGAGTATTGCAGGTGTCTCTTCTTGAGCCATTGTTTGCTTCATATTTTTTTAGTACTTAATCCAGACACTACAAAAGGCTGTTTGTTCAAAGAATTCTTTTTGTAAACTTTCGCTGTCTATAAATGCGGTTAGGCTGTGATCTGTTTGCATCTAAAATGCCAAGCAGGGTGAGGTTTCTTAGTAGTGGCAGCTAATGAGGAGATGTATCTACAAGAGAGCATCCTTATTGACTTGATATTTTTCTGTGAGAATTTTATTTCACCTGTAAAACGTGCTTGGACAATATATGTCTGATCATCAGGCTATCTTAATCATATAGCTTGTAGCATAGACGTACTGCAGATCTGAGGCTTTTAATCCTGATGACAGGGAATGGCATTTTACAACCCAGAAAAGTAGATGAAAGGTTATATGTGTGATTTTTAGTGAAATTCAAAGCATACTGAAGTCTGCTATTGGGCTTTACAGTGATTTATGTTAGCTGATACTACATTTTAACACAAACGTGTCAACCTTCAGGTATTGCATCTTGCCCTCACTGGGGAAAGAGGGAGAAGGGAATGAGTTGAGTTGAGTTGGTTTAAACTAAGCTCTTCTGTCTCAAGACCTCAACCGGATTCCAGTCAAGGTTGAGCATACAGCTGATTGAAGTTGTGTGATGTTACATTATTGTTAGAATCTGATAGATTCTTTTGCTAAACACTTCATTGTACTAGGCCAGCATGTTAGTAAATACAATTTAAAAGTGGACAAGAAGGGGCAGTGGTTCAACTTAAGTTGCTGAATTGATGCAAGAATATAAAAATGGTATTCTGGTTTTATTCTTTATTTTTTCTAATTGATGCTTTACTCTTTCTACCGTAGAAATGAAGACCTAAAACAAATGTTGGAAAGCAGTAAAGATTCTGCAAAGCTGGATGCTATGAAGAGGATTGTTGGGGTATGTGATTTTTTTATTATTATTTTTATTTCTTGGATGGGAATAATGTTTTCACTTTACAGATCCTGTACAACATTAGCATTTGAATCTCTAAGTGATGTTTAAAAGTTGTGGTAATGAAATGGTGAAATCCTTAATTTGGAATTTTGTGTAGAAATTCCTATATCAGGATGTATACTGTCATGTACTTTTAAAATAGTCATGTAACAGTGCCAATATGCCTATAAATAATTACTTTCAGTGAGACCTTGAATAGGAAATGGTTCCTTGAGAGAAACTTCAAAATCAACAGGCTGGAATCAGCAGAAATTTGCAGGAAAAATGACAAATTGCATTTACTATTTTTATTTAATTAGATTAAATAAAGATTTTCTTTTTTTAATTGAGCACGATGCTTATATAGTTGACTAAGTATTTCAGGCAAACTGTGCACCTATAGAGGTGATTAAATGACAAGGTAACCCACCTAGCTAATCAAGGGAAGCCACTTGGTGTACTGTTTTTGGATTTCAGTAAAGATTTTGATACTGTCTCTCACAGGATCCTTCTGGACAAAATGTCCAGCTCACAGCTGGATAAACACATCATGTGGTGGGTGAGCAATTGGCTCATGGCTGGAGCACAGAGAGTAATAGTGAATGGGGTGACATCAGACTGCTGACCTGTCACTAGTGGGGTTCCACAGGGCTCCATCTTGGGCCCTGTGCTCTTCAACATCTTCATAAATGACTTGGACACAGGACTGGAAAGGACACTAAGCATGTTTGCAGATGACACAAAACTGGGAGGAGCTGTTGACTCCCTCAAGGGCAGGGAGGCCCTGCAGAGGGGACCTCAATAAATCAAAGAACTGGGCAATCACCATATGAAGTTCAACAAGGGAAAGTGCCACATTCTGCACGTGGGATGGGGCAACCCTGGATGAACATACAGATTGGGGAATGAGATGCTGGAAATCAGTGCCACAGAAAGGGACCTGGGAGTCCTGGTCGATGGCAAGTTGAATATGAGTCAGCAGTGCCCTGGCAGCCAGGAGGGCCAACCGTATCCTGGGGGGCATCAGGCAAAGCATTGCCAACCAGCTGAGGGAGGGGATTGTCTCATTATGCTCTGCACTGGGGCGGCTTCACCTTGAATATTGTGTGCAGTTTTGGGCACCACAATATAAGAAGGATATAAAACTGTTAGAGAGTTATCCAGAGGAGGGCAATGAAGAGTGTGAAAGGCCTTGAGGGGAAGCTGTGTGAGGAGCAGCTGAGGTCACTTGTTCTGTTCAACCTGGAGAAGAGAGACTGAGAGGAGACCTCATCGCAGTCTACAACTTCCTTGTGAGAGGAAGAGGAGGGACAGGCACTGATCTCTTCTCTGTGGTGACCAGTGCCGGGAGTGGCCTGAAGTTGTGTCAGGGAGGTTTAGGTTGGTTATTAGAAAGAGGTTCTTCACCCAGGGGATGACTGGGCACTGAAATGGGCTCCCTCGGGCAGTGGGGGTCACAGCACCAAGCCTGAGTTCAGGAAGCATTTGGACAATACTCTCAGGCACATGGTGCGACTCTTGGGGATGGTCCTGTACAGGGCCAGGAGGGCCCTGTATGATAATTCTTGTAGGTCCCTTCCAACTCAGCATATCCTGTGATTCTGTGAAATAATGTTTAACACCATTGTGTATTTAAACCCTAAAAACTGAACATGAAGTTGATAGTTCCCTTTATTTCTTCTTAAAAGTATTGGACGAATGTGCTATGGAAAACTGTTCAGTGTCCATTTGACTTCGTTTCAGTCTCCTTTGGGCGTGCTTTTTTGTTTTCCTTGGTTTTTACATCCTTAATCTTATCTGAGTACATACCAAAGTGAATAGGTACAGTTTGTATCATGCGATTGTGTTCTTTCCACAGACTCTAGAGCTGGCAGTTTCTCCCTTCGTTACCCTTTAGTGATGAAAGTTTTACTTAAGATGTTTGTCTTTTTTGCCATTGATCCAAGTCCTGCCAGAGACGTTATTACCCATGAGATCTGGGTAACTATCAACTGCTATTTCATGATGTCATTCTTTTTTTGGTGAAAGGTTTGTTAATTCATCTTCTCTGATATGATGTGGGATTACTCAGGTTTTGATCAGTGAGAGTCTGGCATATAGAAGTGCTGTTGCAAAAAAACATTTAGAAGTGTCATGGTTTCAAACTATGGTAACTTACATTCTTTGTGCTTTCCTCAGAAAAGCTATTATTCTGGCTATTACTGTGGGCAGGAGGGTTGGGGAAAGTTGCCTGCTGCTCCCTTGGTTTTCTTTTTCAAAAAGTTGCCAGATCTTTATCTGTTTTTAGAAGCAGTTGCAACTGAATGTATGTATGTATGTATGTATGTGGGGGGAATTAGAAACCATTAAATTGAATCAGATTTAAATTATAAACCAAGGTTTTACTAGATTGATTTTTTTTTTCTGCTACAAACAATCCTATCACTGTAAATAAGTGTGCAATGAGCAAATGCAGTCATTATAAATACCTGCTGCTGCTGCATATTCAAAAGAGTTCTTAACTGTTTATTTAATTTTATGGAAGTGTATGATGCCATGACCTGGAGACATGTGGTTAGCACTGATAGCTGTGGTCCTTGATGGTCTTAGGCTGAAGTGACCAGGCTCAAGAAGTCTTCAGCAAGGGAAGGCAGAACTAATTGGACACATTCTTTCTTCTGCTCCCCTGTTTTCCGATTCTGACAATTCTCCCCAGTTTCCAGTTCTAGATTTTTGTCCTGTTTTAAGTTTGTGATCCTTGGTTTTTATGCCTGTTCTAAGCACTGTGCAATGGAGGAAGAGCACTACTTTCCCAAATGACAGCAGGCACCTTCTGTTTCTTGGATATTTTTCCTCTTCTCAACTGCTGCTTCTTAAAGCAGTAACAGCCTTTTGGCTTGTAAGCTAAACTTGACAGCAAGTGAGTTGTTTGAATTACTGCATTCTTTCTTTTCAGTTCCTTCTGTATCTTCAAAGTGTTTGCTGTTTTCCTGTGCTGTGTTTAAACTATGTTTCATACCACACATCTGGTACCAACCTCTGGTTGACATAACAAACTCAAACAATGAGCTTCACAGGCCAGGACTGGGACGTTGCACAATTACCATGAGGTCTTGTAACAGTGGTGATAATGTTCTTGCAGAGCACAAAGGTGCTTATATGCTTGCATATAGAGAGGGGCTTATATCTCTCAGGAATGAGATGTGTTTTCCAGAAATGCTTCCTCAATTTTTATTATTAGAGGAAAAAAGGAACTTCGTTGTCAGAGTATTGTTTAAAGTGTCTCACTGAAATGCTCTTTTCACTAGTTTTAGATAGGGGAAAAAGCTATGCATACAGCATCCACAACTTCTCTGGGCAACCTGTTCCAGTGCCTCAGCACCCTCACAGTAAAGAATTTTTTCCTAACATCTAATCTAAAGCTACCCTCTGTCAGCTTAAAGGTATTACCCCTTGTCCTATCACTACATGCCCTTGTAGAAGTCCCTCTCCAGCCCTCTCATAGGACCCTTTAGGTACTGGAAGGTGCTATAGGGTTTCCTCAGAACCTTCTCTTCTCCAGGCTGAACAACCCCAACTCTCTCAGCCTGTCCTCATAGGAGGAATGCTTGATAAGCCATCCCTGTCCATGGAAGAGAGGTTAGTCTCTAAGGTCTCTTCCACCTTAAACCGTTCTATGACTCTATAATTCTATGATACCAATAGTTTTCGTAGTCTTTTAGTAGATTTCAAGAGGCTGAACCTTCATATAGGTGTGATAGAGGAGTACAAGGAGAACACTACTTATGGCATCCTTTGCTGCTTCTTCCTACTGTCGGGTGGTTTGTGAACTTTCTCCTAGGATGAAGGAGATTTTTTACAAATAAACTGAAATCTGTCTTCCAGAGTGTGGCTTTTAACAATGTAAATTCAAACATAGGAGTAGTCCATATTTTTCCACTCCCCTCTTATACACGAATGTATCTAAGCCTAGTTCAGGTAAGATACGTATGTGTGACTTTCATGATCAATGATTTTATTTTTTTATATTTACTTTTAGTCAGTATGTAATTTTTTGTTTCTTCCTTAAATGCTTGCTATAAAATAAATACAGTCTTTGAATGAGTACGAGCAATACTGCTGGGTTAGAAATAAATTTGAAGAGTATACATTTTATACTCTATGCATGAAAACACAATAGCTGATATTTGTTTTAAAACATACACTGATATTACAACAACGAAGATGTTCTCAGTACCATATCTTGAAGCCTATCTGAATTTCTCATCTGGGAAAATACTCTGTGGAATTTCACTCCAGAAGATTTCAGAGCATTAATTTAGAAAACAGTCACATGCCTGATTTTCCTCAAAGAGTGTCATCCATATATGTGTGTCTCTCACATAGGAAAAAAAAAAGTTTAATACACTCTGGCATTACATAGCACATTCTAGAATAAAAGTTTTTGTGCAGAAACTCCAGTTATATAAGACAACACAACTGGAGAGTCTCTAGGCATAGCAACCAAAATGACATGATAGACCTTAGTCTTGGAAAGAGCCATTATGTTCTTTCAGGTTAATGATCCATGAGCTAAGGAGGATTTATGCTACTTGTTATACAATAACGAGTCAAAATACACTCTTTTAGAAGACCCTAAATACATATTTACGGGGTATGCTGGAGCTATTATGGTTGATCAGTTAAATAATCCAAGTAATGCATAGAGTCATACTGTTAGAGCCTGTCAGGGAAGTCTAAGGATCATCTCAGTTTTTGAGTAACATAACTTCCGTTGCATCAAGATAAGATGATAGTATTTTATTCTGTCGTACTTCTCTGCAGTGCATCTTGGTGCTGAGTTCTGTGTGGTCATTTTGAATTTGACATTTATTATGAAGACCCCTCAGTCCTAACAGCAGTGGTTTATTTTAGATTCTTAGATAAAAACCCCTTGAAACTCATATAATATTCTTGCTTTTTAGTTTGTCACTTTTTGTGACTTTTAATACAGCTGCAAGAAATAGTTCAAGATGTTAAATTTAAACGTCATGCTGGATAGCTGCTCTTAAACCCTTTTGAAAGACTGACTAATAGCCTGAACTACAGCTGCCTTTTTTCTTCTTCCGTCATCTTTCTTCTAAGCTTCTGTGAATATACAGTTTCTCAGGTATTGCCTGGTTTTGTGTGTTATTGCTTTTGTTGCATGAGATCCTAATTCTTTATGCTTTTGATGTGTTTTATCAACAAAGTACGCAAACAGACCCGAGAGTTAAAAATATGAAGTTTAATCAGCTATATAATGTTGAATAATGATCAAAGTGTGAGATGGTTATGTACAGGAGTAACTGCAGTTGCAGAACTCACGTTTCTTTGTTGGATCCCTGTATATTTGTTGTTGCTTATTTGTGTTGGACCCTAGTGGACATCAGTGACAAGTGTTATCCCTTAGGGGTCCGTACTGGGACCAGTACTGTTTAATGTCTTTATTAGTGATGTAGACAGTGGGATTGAGTGCACCCTCACCGGATTTGCAGACGACACCAGGCTGAGTGGTGTGGTTTACATACCTGAGGGATGGGATGCCATCCAGAGGGACCTGGACAAGCTGGACCCACGGGAAACTTATGTGGACCTCATGGGGTTCAGCAACACCAAGTACAAGGCCCTGCCCTAGGGTTGTGGCAGACCCCAGTATCAATACAGGTTGGAGGATGAAGGGATTGAGAGCAGCTCTACCAAGAAGGGCTTGGGAGTTCTGGTGAGTGAAATGCTGGTTGTGAGCTGACGGTGTTCACTTACAATAGCCCAGAAAACGTGGCCAGTGAGTCAAGGGAGGGGATTCTGCCCTTCTACTCTGCTCTGGTACCAGAGACCTCACCTGAAGAACTGCATCCAACTCTGGGGTTGTTGACACAGGAAAAATGTGTACATGTTGGAGCAGGTCTGGAGGAGGCCACAAGAATGATCTGAGGGTTGGAGTATGTCTCCTGTGAGGACAGGCCAAGAGAGTTGGGGTTGTCAGCCTGGAGAAGAGAAGGCTCCAAGGAGACCTTATAGCACCTTTCAGTACTTAAAAAAGGGCCTATGAGAAAGCTGGAGAGGAACTTTGTAGTAGGACATGTGACTGGACAAGGGGTGATGGTTTAAACTAAAAGGTTGATTTAGATTAGATATAAGGAAAAAGTATTTTACAGCGAGGGTAGTGAAACACTGTAACAGGTTGCCTGGAGAGATGGTGGATGCCCCGTCTCTGGAAACATTCAATATCAGTTTGGACAGGGCTCTGAGCACCCTGATCTAGTTGAAGATGTCCCCGTTCACTGCAGGGAAGTTGGACTAGGTGACTTGAAAGGTCTCTGTTCTATGATTCTGTATTTGCTTAGTGAGCTTTCTGATTTACTTGATGTTTGACTGGCTGAATCTCATCCTTGGGCGAGACACACAGATTCTCAGAGTTATGTTACATCAAGTTACAGTGCTGTTGAATAAATTCCTGAAATCACAGGGTATGCAGTTTGGACTTAAAAGTACTGCCAGACAGCCTACTGCAGTTAGATCTAAGAAGTAAGAACGTTGTGCAACTGCAGTGTTCGTACAAGAACTGAAGCTAAACTGGGGTTTTGTTGTTTATGGTCTTTATTGTGACAATTTTATTGTTTATGACATGTCTGGTTTCAGATTTCTCCAAGATCAAACATGAAAACTTCCTTTCAAAAAAAAAAAGAAAAATAGAAGAAAATTAGTGCATTGATCTTACTTTCACCGTGTGGTTTCTGTTTATCCTTTTTTGTTCTCTATAAACACTTTACAGCCTTTTGTGTTTAACTTGCTATGGAAAACAACCTTGCCTTGTTTTTAAAGTGTGATGTCTATTTTTATTTTTATTCTTGGTGCTGTTGCAAACCAAGATTGTTTCAGGGAAAAGGAGCAGGACTGAAACTTGTATAGCTTCTGATGGGTTTTGTTGTGCTTTTTTTTTTTTTTCCCAGCTCCTAAAAGGTAATTCTGCAAGGCTTTTCAGATTAGCAAGATCCCTGTTTCTAGTTATTTTTAAGGCATTAAAAGTTATGTGTCATCCTATGTGTTAAAGTCCAGTTCATTGATTCCATCGTCCAAACTTGTAACTAGCCAGCACTCAGAGTTTTTGCTGTATGGATTGTATCACGTATATTCTAATAACCAAAAAATGGGTTTTATCCTCAATTTCATAGAATTCATATTTGAAATACAGATCTGAAATGAATCAACAAAACACAAACCATACTCTAATAAATTTTATTATTACATTACTAAGATTTGTCTCTTCCTTCTTTTTTTCAGATGATTGCAAAGGGAAAAAATGCTTCTGAGCTGTTTCCTGCTGTTGTGAAGAATGTTGCCAGTAAAAATATTGAGGTATTCCTATAACTCATTAAACATGCTGTTATGGAAGATCTGATTATGAAAATTTTATCTAATTGTACCAGACTTCAATACAAACCATAAAATCTCTAGCATTTTTAATAGAACTTCTAGGGGTTTATTTCATTATGGTAGAAATTTTATGTGTAAATAAAGGAAACCTATTGGGTGATTTGGAGGGAGGTATAATAACTATTTACATTTTAAAAAAAATTCTTGATTTCAGAAAGTTTGTGAAATATGTTTGTAATTGAGAAGCTGAGAGGTACGGGTTGGGCAAAATAAGTGTGTGTTCTTGCGCCTTCATCAGGTGTTAGGCACACAAAGTAGCTTGCTTCAGTAACTACTCCAGTGAAGAGGTGTCAGAGTTATAGTTGACTTGACAAATGAGATTTGGATAAAAATAGCATCTGTAAATTTGTAGTTTCAGACCTTGTAGTGACTAACAAGCATCGGTTTGATGAAAGCAGACTGAACATGCAACATTGAAAAATGTGGTAAACAGTTGTTTGAGGCACTGGGTTTTAAGTCAACTGAATGCATGCATCATTGTTCCACCCTCTTCTGGAAATGGGAGCTGTAAGTGTGCAAAGATGCTAATTCAGAGTCTTTCAGGAACTTACTGTATTAAAACTATTTTAGAAATGGTAATTGTACTTTTAGTAATAGGCAGTAAAAGGAAGTGAGACAAGGAATCAGACTAGTTAAATATTCTTTTCCTCTTTAATTTGCATTTGTAAGTTATGAGTACTCCAAGTCCAATTTTAAACAGAGAGACCTTACACCAAAGAGGAATACCTTGAACAGTATTATTCATCTTATGTGCTTTTAACTTTAGTGCTGGAACCACTAGGCCAACAGAGGCAAGATTGCCCAAGCTCCAGGCTTTCAGCCCAACAGTAGTGAGCCTGAGAGTGTATTCCTGGTAGGTGTGCACATACATATAAATCTTGTATATATGTATATATACAAAACAAAAATGTATATACAGAAGCAGCCCCATAAATTGTCACAGGGTATCCTGGTGAACATAAACAGCACCAGCAGTTTGCCAGTTCAAGATGAATGTCTGCTATGTGTGGATCCATCCACACTGAGTCTGCAAAGTGGCTGGCCCATGGATCTCAGTCACTCCTGTTGCTGGCACATGGATGTATAAGCCTCTGATGCTGCAGCCCTGTTTCATGCCTGTAAACCAGGACTACCCTGGTTTCTCAGTAGCTGCTCCCTCATGGACCCTCCCTTAGACACACAGCTGTGTGCATGAATGGAGCACAGCTGGACCTGGCCAGAACTTCCCTACTCCTCTGCTGTCCAAACCCCCGTGGTTATGTCCTTAGAGAGGTACACAGAAAAAGCCTAGATCTTGCCCACAGGCCATCTGTTTTCTTGGTAGCTGGTTGGGACTTCAGTGGTCTGTGCCAGTTCCTCCTGTTGTCTCACCCTTAGATGCCCATACCCAGGCTTACCTCCTTCACAGGCCACTTCACCTACCTGCCAGCCACTGCAGCTTGATCCATGTGCACACTTGCATCCGTTCCAGCCACTGGCACCACAGGGACATGGGCTTGTGCTTGGTTTCACAGACTCTGGTCTCTTCAGTTGCTGGCATTTATGGTCATGCGCCCTCTGGCCTGTGGTCCCAGCCGAGGTGTAGGCAACCAGACCCCTCCCTTGTTCCAGGTGCTGGCCACCATGGATTTAGAGGTCCCTATTGTGGGGTGAAGTCACAGCCCCACAACTGAAGTTTGAGGAGTTTGGAATGTTACAAGGTGTTGGGCCGTTTTCCATGGGAGCAGTGAAGCTAACTAGATAGTTCCCATGGACACAGCCTTGAGCTGTGTGGCTGAAGTGCAGGTGCACATTCCTCAGTGTTTTTGTGGAAACATGTTTGTGTTGTGTGTGTGGGAAAGTAGAAGTAAGAGAACCTAATAAAAGGCTGCCTGCTGCGCTAAGCAGACAGACATCTCTTTGTCTCACTCCCTTGTGTGTGTTGTGTGTCTTCCTGCCCCCTTGGACTGAGGCCCTTCGGCAGATACCCAGCAACACCCTATGGCTTGGCATCACATTCCGGTTACTGGGGTCACACTTAAGTCCCCTCACTCTGGTCTCTCCAGCTGCTGGTGCCTATGTACATGTCAGCCCTCTAGCTTGTGGCCTGACTATAGTTGCTGGCACATACATGCACCTTCATGCTGAATAAAGAGTACTTCACCAAGGAAAATAGATAAAAATGTAATTTAACGAGTAAATGTAATGGACTGTACTAATCACGTAGAAGGGTAGATGTACCAACCAGCAAACTGTTCAGATGTGTCCAGCCATCTTATATCTCTGTTTTCCCCAACTTGTTCTTCTCCAGATCAGGTAGATTTCCTCTGCTTCTCTTTTACTTTGGTTCTTCCTCAAAACATCCCATGCTAAGTCTTGTCTAAGATGCTCTTCATCTGTGTCCCATACACCCAGTACGCATATAAGACTTTCAAGTCTGAAAGGTGCTGTGGTGTTTATTGATACTTGGTGGTTTTAACATCTGGGCATGGGAGCTGAGGCTTCCCTGAAGTGGTTCTGGGAGGAGTGTGACAAGGTGTCCTTTCTCCGAGTCCTAAATTTAGTTTCCCTGCTACTGCTGTGTCTCTCTGCACTTCTGAGCTGATGGTTCCTGTCATTGGCTTGGGAGAAACCAGAGCAGGGTGTTGCATGCAAACATCCCTCCTTTGTGGTGTGAAAACAAGGTCTTATCACATAACCTAACACTAATTAGCAGAAGCCTTTCACTGTTGCTATTTTATGGACCTGTTTTCTTATTTTAAAACAAATAGGCAGTTGTATGAAATCACGTATCTTCTTTATACAAGAAGTGACTGTTAAACTGCAAAGAGATCAGGACATTCATTGAAGCCATTTGACTAATTTCTTTATCAAGTTGAGTTAGATGACAAGTTTAGATCATAATGTAGCGCTATTTAGAGCTGTCTTGTGTCTCAGGAACCTTTATCATGATCCATTTTTTAGGATGCTCTTGAAATTATGAGAAATTACTGGGTTAAGTCAGATTCTTAGTACATTGATCATGATACTGTTTTCTGAAACTGTTTTGCCAAATTTCCTAAGAATTCTTACACAAATCTGTACAAATTACTAGGATGTAGTAGCAGACAATACATTGGTTTATCTGAGTGATTTTGTATCCAAGTGACTTTCCTGCCCAGAAATGGCTTCTGTTTTTATTTTAAAATCAGGGCTGAATGCTCTGATGCAGGAAAATGGAGATGAAGGAGTAGTATAACATGTTAATTTGTTTTAAGAGAAGCAAAGGGCATCTTATTGTTTACAGAAGTGCCCTATTTTTTTTTTTTTTTGATAAGTACACGCCAACCTCAGCTTGATTAAGTGCATCATGTCGTGCATGGTAAGGATACAAAAAGTGACCTAATAAACAATTGGTGGTATAGAACAAAAATAAGTCTTCATCAATAATTCATGGAGTTTGATGTGCTTATATTGATAAATTAATTAAACAAATCTGCCTGTGTTCCTCAAGCCTAATGTGCTCCTGTTATGATTAGTTTTATAGAACAGAGCATTTTAACATTGAATGAAGGTAAATGGTAAAAGAATAGTGTAGTCACGAAGCTCTGAGTGCTTTCATTTCTAGTCACAAAGTGGTTTCAAGGAAAGGAGGCTTTCTTTGCACACCTGCAGTCATTCAGTGCACAGGCCTCTTGTGGTCAATGTTGATTGCTACTTCTCTATAGTTGAACAACAAATAATTTAGTATGATGTAACCGTCTGTGATTTAATATTATGTTTTTTTGCCAGAATTGGCACAAAGGTACATCTTCTGATAGTGACAGTAATTATTAGCACAGCTGTAGTTGAGGGTCTTTCAGAATTTTCCATTATAAACCCCAATAGTCAGTTTACAACTCAAATGTAAAAAAAATGTTTTCACTGCTTCCTGGGCATACAGTGGCCATGAGGGGGTAAAGTGAATTAAATTGAACACCCTCCTCCCCAAAATCATACTGAGATTTTCTTAATCATTGAACATTGCATCCTTTGTAATATGCTTATGTTGGCGGCATCTTTTGGATGCTTGTAGTCATGCAAAGGTGAATCTAATATCCTTTGTTTTTTTCCAAAACATAGTCAGAAGTGCTCTTTTAATCACATGTAAATAGTGTAAATTACCACACTTCAGCAGGAAGTTATATTCACTTTCAAATGTGTTAAAGTAATTGATATTGAGTTTCAGAGTAAAATAAAATGAACTTGTTGAAATTCTTGGCTATTTCAGTTCAATCTATTTTCTATAAGAAAAAACCCATAAGAAATGCTCAAGTGATCAGTTGACACATTCAACATCTTAGATTATTCTTTATTTACTAGTTGATAATATAAGGCAGTACTTTGTGTTATTAGCCTTCATCTGACTGTGTCATTAATTAAGCAACATTGCAGCACCTCAGGAGTTTCTATTAAAAGAATTGAAGTAAATTGCAAGACATTGGAGAAGCGTGTGAGTACTTCAGTGATATATTAGCTCTTTCTTCAAAGAATAAAATTTTGTTGAAACTATGCAATCTAGGGCTTAGTTTTACAGAATTCTAAAACTTTCTGACTGTGATGTTCATTGTACTTTTTCTTTTCAGATAAAAAAGCTTGTATATGTTTATCTGATGCGCTACGCAGAGGAGCAGCAAGATTTAGCATTATTGTCCATCAGTACTTTTCAACGTGCTTTAAAAGTGAGTGACTACTGAAAAGTGACTACTAACTAACATTTCATAGGGAATTCTGAGCTAGTGGTGCAAAAATAGAAGTATTTGTGTAAGTGTAGTGTGGTAAACTAAAGCATGTAAATATCTGCATCTGATAAAGTAGTTTCAAGTTATGTGATTGACAAAGTTTCTTGTACTACCTCAAACCTTGTCAAGCAGCTAAGCCTGCAAGATGTAAAATTACTTCACTGAAGAAAGGCAGCAGAACGGTGCTCTCAAATCCACAGTGTAACATTTAATTTCTGGATTGCCTTTTCTCCTTCCATCGTAACTTACGTATATAGCAAAAAGACCCTGTTATTGCCATGAACTACCTGTCTTCCTTTTAGTTTATGTAAAAGAACTTTATTTACAACAGAGGATTGGAAAAAAGATAAGGAAGATAGTAGTACCTAAATTAAAATATTCAGTGTGTTGCACATAGTGCTTTTTCATTAAAAGCACTGAAAAAAAGCATTTTGTAATCTTCTGTTTCAAATCAGATCACAATGAGAAATGGGATTAGAGAGCAAAGATTAGGGTTGCTTTTGAAGTGTGACTGTGGAGAAAAGAAAGATTTATTAAGTCTATGTTCTTAAATTTGGCCAGTTTTTATAATAAGAGAAGATCGCTTTTTTTCTTTTTTCTTTTACCTTTCTTGTAAGGCTGCTCTAGGTTCATAATTAATTTCTGTCATGTCACTTAACCCAGACCTTGCATCTTGTTGGGATATATTGCAATCAGAGCACCACTTGTGCAGCTCTTGGAGCATCCCACACCAACTACAGAATTTTCTGCCCTTTTCCTTTCAACTTTTATCTCAATATCAAACGTACTACCTTTACTATCTGTGACTGCCATGAAAAGCTAAAATTCAAATTACTTTGTGTCCTGTGTTTCTAGTGATATATGTATGCAATGATCACTTCTCATGGCATAACTCTTTTAAAAGCTCTCATAGGTAATGAGAACAGTAGGAAGGGGATAGGTCAAATGTTGTGGCTGAGTAGCAAAAAAAGGAGTGGCGGTGTGGCAAGGAGGTAGACACCAAGCTAGTGAGATTGTCAGCAACTGAGGAAATCTGCTGTAAAAAATAGGCAAACATAATTAATTCTCTCTGTTCATTTTTTGTAATGTTTTGTTTCTCTTTTTGCAATGATTATAATTTGGCTTTATGTGTGGAGATTTTTTTCTCCCTCTGTAGAAAGAACGTTTTAGGGTATTTTCAACTTCTGTGACTGCAGATGAGATTTGCAAACTCTGGTAAGAACAAGTTGTTTTCCCAGAACTGTCAAATGAAGTGCTTTCACCATCCAGATTCTTACTACTCAGAAGCTGCTAAAATGTAAGAATTTTGAGAGCTTAGATGAGCTAATCATTAAGTAATACCAGTCTGAAAATCTGTGTTGCCAGTTTTCAGTCCTTCGGAGAAATGTTCTTTAGGAAGTTCCCTTCTGGCAGGACAGTACACTGAATTAACAATGCTCAATTTCAGTTTGCTGGATTTTGGAGGATTTAGTACCTTATTAAGCAACATTTTTCCCTTGTATCCCAAGCCCATGATTAAAGGACAAAGTTTATCTAACTGTTCTTCCAAATACAGGTGTGTTGGATCTCCAAGCTAACCCTAGTATTGTAAAAGAAGACCAAGAACTGGGACAAAAGAAGGGAGGAAAAGAAATAGAAAAAAGTCTCAAAACATTTAGCGTAGTATTTTGACATGTTGTTTAAAAATTCATTTTGTTACTGGCTTCAGTTTGTATCTCGACATAAAGCATAGAGTGGATTCGTTCTCAAGAACTTGAGTGTGAGTGTCACAACTGAAAACAACATTTTCATTTGACCTTTCTTAAATATAAGTAATAAAGCTGAGCTAGTGTGTCTTTGAGAATATCTGAATTCCACTTGGATTGCAACAAATGTATCAGATAATTAAATAAAATATTAGTCTTTTTTACCCATCATTCCCATATTTTGTTTGTGAAAGTGCATTATGTTAATGTTTCCTTTGTAAAATTTTCATATTTTCATAATGTTTTAATGTTCTCATTCTTGATTTGTTTTACTTTTTTTTTGGTTGTTGAAAATTTCTTTGTGTGAAGTGTGGCACATTTTCTTAGTAGTGTGGCCTTCACTTACAGGCCTGACTTACAGTCAGATAGATTTACATGTTTTAATGTGTTGTTACTAATTAAGTGTAAAGACTGCAGCAAATTTATTATTTGTTTCTGCGTTATCTTATTTTCTTTCTCCCCTTCCCTCCTGTTCTTTAGGATCCTAATCAATTAATCCGTGCAAGTGCTTTAAGAGTTTTATCCAGTATCCGGGTCCCAATTATTGTTCCTATTATGATGCTTGCTATTAAGGAAGCCTCTTCTGATTTATCTCCTTATGTGAGAAAGAATGCAGCCCATGCAATCCAAAAACTGTATAGGTAAGTGATTCTGGCAAATACTGAAAAGCAGTTTTAAGATAGTTGTGGGCTACATTTATAAAAACTACTGGGGGTTTGGCATGTCTCAGATATGAGATCAGTTTCTTAAAACTATAACGTGTGTGTGGACATTCCATCAGTCAAGTGGTTGGTTGGAATTCAAGCAATTCTCTTGCTTGCTAGACTAAAAGAATATAACTGTAAAGAGATACAAAGAGTGACTGATACACTATCTTTTAGTTTTTAATGTAGCAGTTATTTTCATCTGTGTAACAACTGTCCTGGTGGGTATTCTCCAAATCTTAAGATTTCTCTGTTTAAAGTCTGTATCTTTCATCCTGAAGGCATTTGCTGTAGTTTGTAATGCATATGACAAAGGAATGCTAACTTGTAGAAATTTTATCTGTGCAAGTCCAAATCTTCCAGATCTTCCTCTTTTGTCAGAAATTCATGTTGGGGAAGAGTTCTTATCAAGATATTGATACTATTTTGCAGAGGTGGGAGCAGCAGAGCTTGTACCTCTGCAAAACATCATCAGGCATTTATTCTACTATATACTTCACTTTTATTTCATCTATGCTGAAAAGTGGAGTTTGAGAGATGTTAGAGGTTCTGAATCAGGTAACCTCAGGCAGCTGCAGTTCCATGCCCTCTCAAACCACCCAGATGCAAGGCTGAGCATGTGTTCCTGATAGGTACATGCAAGATGCATGTACAACACACATACCCACAAGCATCTGCACAGATCAGCAGAGACAGAAATCAGCAGTCATGCAGACAGTACCAGCACCAACAACATTATCCTGTTGCACTTTCTGGCTGATAAGTGTACAGGTCCATTAGTATGCCTAGATGTGTACAATATGGATCCCCCAGTGATAATCCTAGATGTTCCATGTTTCCAGGAACTAGCTTTGCATCCCGTCTCCCAGTTTCTGCCACACACAAGCACACAGTGCTTGCAAACCCACCACACTTCCTACTACAGACCCCCTCAGTCAGATGCACACACGCCCTACCCTTTCACTCAGACACTGTGAATCCCAGTATCTCGGTTTAGAGACTCAGATTATGCTGTAAGTTGCCCATATACCTCCTCATCTCTGCTTGTCTTGTGGGAGGTGGAGAGGAGGTGAGAGAGATTGAGACATGGTTATCTCAGTCAACCTCCAGACCTTACAGTCTCTCCAATACTTCGCCTGGATACACTGGTCCTACTGGTAGATAAGATCTTCAGTTGTAGCACTCAGAGGCACACACAGGTGTCCAGCTTAGATCAGTGGCCCCACTTCAATACTTGGCTTCCCAAGCCACCCAGTCTGGTTTGATATTCTCAGGCAGTCACACACTGACATACTTGCTCTGGTTGCTGGTGCTACTGTTATACAGGTCCGTATAACCCATGGTTTAACTCCAGCTGCTGGAGCTTAGATCTCCATATCACATATGCACACGGAATAGAGACTGCCTCTGTAGTCAGCAGATGCACAGCATGGGTAGACGAGTGTGCTGAGCAGCAAAGCATTTAGATACACTTGACTCCTTTTGTGCACCTCTCCCTTTATTTTCCTACTCTTGTTCCTCCCAAAGTAATTTAGATCCTTCCATTTCTCCCATAAACATCCCATCTTGTATGATTGCAGGATGCTCTGTCTGGCATTGCGTATTAAGTCTTATAGCCCTATAACTAGAGCTCTTTAGCCTGTTCTTTTATTTCCACTCCAAAAATGCTCCCTTCCTTGTCTAAAACATCAGGAAGGAGGAGAGGGAGGAATGTAAATTCAGTTATTGGAGCCCCTACTGATGATTTGCTTGATCACATAAGAAAAACTTTTGGCTTTTTCTCTGAAGGTTTTAGTCCTTGGCAGAAGATCCAGTAAAACTTCCTTGACCAAAATAGAAGTGGGAATGAAAGGTGATCATAAAAGTACTTATGCAACAACGTACTGTTGCTTTGCTTATGATGATAGTGGCTTCTAACAAAGTTTTGTTATCCATTTTGCATGTTCTAGTATTGCTAGGTCTTAAAGTCTTAGTGAAGTAGTACATAGCTAGATACTCACTTTGTGAATCTGTGACTAGAAGGGATATACTGTACATTAGGGAAGTTCATCACTCAGCATTAAAACTGAAGTGTATCATGGCTAGGCTTCGCGAACGAAGATTTGGGAAGGCTCTATCCACATTTGCTGCAGGCATGCTGGTGGCTTATGAGGCCAATACGTGACAGACAAATCCGATTGCAAAAGGCACAGCAGAAAGACTCCTTAGATGGTGTATTCTGCAATACACGGTTCTTTCTGCGTTGCCTTTTTTCCTCGAGGGTGATCCTGCGTGTGTTCTCAAAGGAAGCAGCTGCGTTATAGATGGTGTGTCTCCAGGCCTCCCGATTTGAGGCCAGAGTGGACCAGTTATGGTGATCGATATGGCCAAGGCTGAGATGTTGTTTCAGGGAGTCCTTGTATCTTTTCTTCGGGGCTCCTCTCATGCGGCAGCCAGTGGCAAGTTCACCGTAAAGCAAGATCTTGGGAAGGCGGTGGTCCTTCATCCTGGAGACGTGCCCTGCCCAACGCAGCTGTGTTCTCATCAGCATAGCCTCGATACTTGTGATAGCTGCTTGCTCTAGAACAGATGTGTTGGTCACATAGTCTGACCAGTGGATGTTAAGGATTGTACGGAGGCAGCGTTGATGGAAGCGTTCTAAGAGACGCAGGTGGTGGCGGTAGATGACCCATGATTCAGATCCATATAAGAGAGTAGACAACACAATGGCTCTGTAAACACTGATCTTGGTGCTTTTCTTCAAGTGTTTATTACGCCATACTCTTTTATGGAGTTTTCCAAAAGCACTATATGCCTTTGATAATCTGTTGTCTATCTCTCCGTCAATCTTACCATCTGAGGAGATGAGGCTACCGAGGTAATTAAACTGTTGGACTGATTTGAGCTCTGATTGACCAATGGTGATGTGGGGATGATGGGGGACATCCTGAGGTGCAGGCTGATGGAGGACCTCTGTCTTCTTTAAGCTGACCTCCAGACCAAAGAGCTCAGCAGCATCTGCAAAGCAGGATGTTAAACGCTGCAGAGCTGCTTCTGTGTGGGCAACAAGGGCGGCGTCATCAGCATAAAGCAGCTCCCGGACAAGATGGTTTAAGGTCTTGGTGTGGGCCTTCAGTCGCCTTAGATTGAATAGACTTCCATCAGTACGGTATCGAATGTAGATACCGTCCTGATCATTGAGGTCTGCTGTGGCCCTTTGGAGCATCATGCTAAAGAAGACGGTGAATAGGGTAGGAGCGAGAACGCAGCCTTGTTTCACACCATTCTTAATTAAAAAGGGCTCAGAAAGTGCATTGCCATATCTGACTTGGCCATGCTGATCCTCATGGAGTGAGATAATCATTTTGAGGAATTTAGGGGGACAACCTAAACGTTCCAAAATCTGCCACAGACCTTTTCTGCTCACAGTGTCAAAAGCCTTGGTGAGGTCGACAAAGGTTACATAGAGACCTTTGTTCTGTTCCCTACACTTCTCTTGCAGTTGTCTGAGGACAAATACCATGTCTGTGGTGCTCCTGTTGGCTCTGAAACCACACTGACTTTCAGGAAGGATACCTTCTGCTATAGTGGGTATTAGTCTGTTCAAGAGTATTCTTGCCAGGATTTTGCCAGCAATGGAGAGCAGAGTAATACCACGATAGTTTGAGCAGTCAGATTTAATTCCTTTCTTCTTATACAAGGTGATGATGACTGCATCACGAAGGTCAGATGGTAGTTCGCCGAGTTCCCAACAGCGCACCACGAACTCATGGAATTTGGTGTGGAGTGCAGGGCCCCCATGTTTCCAGATTTCAGGTGGAATTCCATCAATCCCAGCTGCCTTGCCGATTTTCACCTGCTGTATGGCCTTGAGGGTTTCTCCTAAAGTGGGGGCAGTGTCCAATTCATACTTTACTGGTTGTTGTGTGATGGACTGAATTGCTGAGTCTTGGACTGTGCGGTTGGTACTGAAGAGAGTCTGAAAGTGTTCAGACCATCGATTCAGAATGGAGGTTTTATCTGTCAGAAGTGTTTGACCATCAGCGCTGAGTAGAGGGCTTTGTACCTGGTATGTAGGCCCGTATGCTGTTTTCAAGGCCTCATAGAAACCTCTGTGATCACCTGTGTCTGCACATAATTGAGTTTTTTCAGCTAGATCAATCCACCATTTGTTCTGGATGTCACGGAGTTTCTGTTGGAGTTTGCTGCACGCAAGACGAAAGGCTGTTTTTCTTGCGTGACAGGATGGCAGTGCAAGGTGTGCTTGGTGGGCGGTTCTCTTCTTCCTCAACAAGTCTTGGATTTCTTGGTTGTTTTCGTCAAACCAATCCTTGTTCTTCTTGAGGGAGAACCCTAAGGATTCTTCGGAGGATTGCAGGATGCTGTTTTTAATATGATGCCAGATTGTTTCAGGAGAGGAATCTGCAGAAACTGTGGGAATGTTATCGAGCTTAGTTTGAAGGTTTGCCTGGAAACTGTCTCTTACTGTGGCTGATTGGAGATTGTTAACTTGGAGTTTTCTCCTTGGGATGCTGCCCCTTTTTGGTTTGATTTTGATCTTGAAATTGAGTTTACAGCGCACCAGCCGATGGTCTGTTTGGCATTCTGCGCTGGGCATCACGGCGGGTATGGTGGACATCGCGGACATCTCTCCGTCGCACCAGGACATAATCGATGAGGTGCCAATGCTTAGAACGGGGGTGCATCCAGGTTGTCTTCAGACTATCTTTCTGCTGAAAGATAGTATTAGTGATGGTGAGTTGTTGCTCTGCACAGAATTCTAGCAGAAGTCGACCATTATCATTGCAGTTTCCAACACCATGCTTGCCTAATACACCTTTCCAAACTTCAAAATTCTTGCCTACTCTGGCGTTGAAATCACCAAGGATAATGATCTTATCGTCTGCAGGGACCTTTTGGGTAAGGAGGCGCAGGTCAGTGTAAAATTTATCTTTTTCAGCA